CAGGCGGTCAAGTTGTAGTAATAATCCGGTTAAATCCAGAGTTGAATCCACAGGGAAACTATGATTAGTGTTTTGAAGTAAGTAATAATAGAGACCAAGTAACTACAAATTTTGAGAGTTTGGAGTGATAGGGTTTTTGAACAAAATAGAAGATTCTTTTCAAGAGTTTTCTAGAAAAAATATCAGATTCTCAAAATGTAACAGCCACCCTTTGTTAGAGGATTAGGACATGTAATTGACTATCCGGTTTATTATGTTTGTACTTTATAACTCAATTAACTCCCGTGTCAACAACAAGTTAATCGGAAGATAAAGATGGACTGTGAGAATTAAGCACATGATTTCGATGCTTTTTAGAAGTTTACAAGAATTGTCTATGCCGAGACTTAACCCGTTTACAAACAAGCAAGTGTTTCTACAAAGCATCCAACCAGGGCATTAATGGTCCATCCTTTGAATAAAGCGCAATAATAGTGGAGATTGAAAGGTTGTCAAGAAGAGCTAGCCGAGGTGCTTGCCTTGAACCAACGGGTCTTTCTATGTAGGAGTCATCCGTATCATAGAAGGAGCCATTGATTATACAAAGTACCTCAACATTGCTAGATGCATTCAATCATCCAATGAGCAAGTGAAATACAAAACATTAAAGCATAAAGGAGTTGCACAAACATAACTTCAGAATAATTTTTACAAATTCATCATCTTTTACTAAAGAGTGAATGAGGAACTACTCACTCTTCATGGCCTTGGCAAAGCTAGAAAAGTGAGTGATACTCATCTCTCCAAGTTAAGGAGCTACTAAGTAAAGCAAACTAAACAAAGAGCTTATCTTCAATGAAGAATAAGTGAATCACTTTCCACCCTTCACGGCTTTGGTAAAGCTCTAGAAAAGTGAAAGAATTTCACTCTTCTAAGAAAGAAGGAAGCTCAAGCAATGAAAGTGAAATGCATGAACAATAAAAGTAGAAGAAAACTAGTTACTTTTGGAGGGTTTTCACCACAACCAAAAGATGAGCTATCTCTCTTGATAATTGTAAATAAAAGCAAGTACAACTACAATGGAAGTCTAAGCCTCTATCATGGTTGTCACAACATGAATGTAAAGATTTAGCATAAGTAAATAAAAGACTTCAACTACAAGGGGAGTCTAAGCCTCTATTATGGTTGATATAAATGCAAAATGAAAACATAAACAAGAAATGTTCAAGAATTAGATTACTAAACACTCTCTTACTTTACAAGAAAAAAAAGATTGCCCCCCTTTACTCTACAAGAGGAAGAATGTCCCTCTCAAGCTCCTAACATGGGAGTATTTATAGGCAAGGAAGGGGAGGGGGTAGGAGATAAGAGACGATGAGTGAATAGTATTTATCACCCATGGGAACCAACTACTCTCCAGGCAGTCTATGGAGGACGTTCGAACGTTGTCTTCTATTTTGCTTTCAGAGTGTTCGAATGTTTTCTGACATTTGAACGTGTCTTCTGGTCTTGCTTTATAAACGTTCGAACGCCAGATGGGGTTTGACCTTTTCCACTCAAGTGGTTTTCTCCACTCAAGTGGTTTTCTGTGAAGTTCATTTCCACACACAATGCAGAAGTCTGTACTTCAAATGATTCCAAGCGACGTTCGAACGTTGAAGGCGTTCGAACATGGTACTCAAGTGCACTTTCTTCCTTGTTTGCTGTAACATGCCATGTTCCATCAGTCTGGCCTTCAATCAACTCGAGTGCACATTCGAACGTTAGTTGGCGTTCAAACATGGTATTCAAGTACCTCAGGGTCCTAGTGCTTGACTGCAACACACTGTGTCTCAGCAGACTAGTTTTGTCATAGTTCAAATGAACGTGAGTTGGCGTTCGAACGTTCTGACTTTGTTCCAAGCTTCTCCAATTTTGTTCCTAATTTGTTGGTATTACATTTAAGTATGATTTTTGTTGCCCTTGAATCCTTTTTTCACTTTAGAACTTGAAATGTCATCATTTAAACTCCATCAGAGTATAATTAGTCCTAAAAAGGCATAATAATATGCTACATTTAAGTACTAATCAATAATCGCCCATCACCTATCAATTTGAAGGGCCGTTAGACGCATCGGCTGCACTATTCATGAAATGATAGATACAAAGTTGGACAAGATGAGAGTAATAATGTGATATCACACAACAGTATGAAAAGTATGTTACAACTCAACGAGGATGATTGCCGAGTCATTTGTAATGTCTATGAGTTAATCACGAGTTAACTTAGACTCATGGTTTACACACAACATGCACTTTTCGTGGAATAGAAATTGCTAAAGTCATATGTGACTAGGTCTATTCTTTGAACATTGCAGGCTGTAGCAATGACCCTTAAAGAAGAATCTAGCAAACCCACCTAAAATTTTTGTAGCAATTACTCACAACAAAATAACATTAAACATTAAGCACGCCAACCTCATGAAGATACCAAAACAATAATCAAAACATCTTCCTTTCTGTAGGCAATGTTGCATTAAACATTAGGCACACACACCTAAAAAAGGCACATAACAAATGGCAAATTATCTCCATCCCAAAAAGTAAGTGGTGAACATCTCTGAAGATATGATAATATGATTTGACAAGATCAACCAAATCAACTTTTGATCCTTATGTATCTCTTGGATTCTTGCTTATCTTAATGAGATTTGATTGTAGTTTCACCCTATATATGGGGTGTAGTTTACTTATTCTAAATACCAAGAATTAATGAAATATATAGCCTATTAGGTTTTGGTTTGTGGATGTAGACACTATGTATAGAACCCCGTAAATCTCTCGAGTTCTTTCTTGATGTTTACTTTTATGTTAAAATTCAATTTGGTATCAGAGCGGGTCAATAAAACCTTGCTTAATCCCGATTTTGTTTTTGTATTTCGACGACTTTCATTCCGTGCTTATGTTTCTAGTGTTTGCACAATAAATCATTTTGTGCATACAATAATTTTTGGGTGATTGCTATCGACTTCACTCATTTAAGAGGAAGGTGTTCACCGCTTTGTTCAAGTCATTCAAGTGATTGTTATCAACTTCACTAATTTCAACAAGGTGGTTATCAGGTTTATCAAAATCATTTTAAGGTCATTCCATCTTCAAGTTCATGTTGGACATTGCACTTCAACATTTTCGGGTCCTACTAGAGGGGGAGTGCTAAAGATAAGATTAGACATCTAGGATTCTAATTTATCTTAATCAGATTTGATTGTGTTTTCACCCTGTTTATAGGATGTAGTTTGGTTGTTCTAATTACCAATAATTAATGAACTATTTAGCAACTTAGGATTTGGTCCATGGATGTAGGCATTATGTGCCAAACAATGTAAACCCTTAAGAGTTATTTCTTGATGTATACTTTTATGTTAAAATTCAATAATGAGGTTGCATTAAACACCAGGTATTCACACCCAAAAAAGACACAGAACACATCTAGATCAAAATGTATTTATTCCACTTTAAGAAAAGAAAGTTGATATAAACAATATACACAATACATGTAGCTCAGTTGTGACCTCGCCTAATACCGGTTCTCATCCATGGTTGTTCAATAAGAAAATAAAGCAAGTTTGAGCCCCACTCTTAAACTCTTAGGGGCTGTTTGGTAAGGGGGTATGGGGGGCTTGTCAAGATGAGTTTGGAAAAAATAGTCCAAATTTCCCACAAATCCCATGTTTGTATGAAAAATTCAGTCCCGGATTTTCAAACCTAGCCCATAGCTAGCCCGAAGATTAAACTCATGATCATGAGTTTTGTCAAACCTAGGTAGGAGATGGGTTTGGGAGGATGGGTAAGGGGTTAAAGATCCAGAAGATAATTGTACCCCTTAACATGGGTATGAATTGGATTGATCAAGCATAAAATAGTCATTTACAAGAGAAATAGTTGTTAATAATTATGATATATCCGCGAGTCTTACATATGTATGTGTTGCATACTAAACATGAGTATGGATTGAATTGAATGTTGAATCCCATCTTTACAAAGAGGGGTTTGGGTTTGTAAGGGTTTGGAGAAGTCAATCCAAACCCTTTCCCAAAATTCATCCAAACAAGCCCTTAAGGTCATCGACAAACAGGCCCAATACAAAAAAGTTGAGTTGGGCACAATTGGCTTGAAAACATAAAATGGTTCATTTATAATGAGAGTTTGTATGAGGGTCATTGTTCAAAGAATCATTGAAGTCAAACTCTATAACTTCTGTTCTTAGAACGATACACATTTCACGTAAACCACGAGTCTCACTCAATTTTTAGTTGACTTGGCAATATCTCGTCGCCTTGACCGAGTCAACTACGTCATAATCATTGAATCACAACATATTGTCGAATACCTTTACACGACACCACAATGTGGCTAAAATATCTCGCTAATGTTCAACTTCTTCTATCATGTATCAGGTTGTGTTATTGCCCAATAACATCCTGCGACATTACGATGATGTGTCAAAGGTGTCATCTGAGTTAGTCTCAATATTCAGACCTTGAATCATGCAAACCACTCTCAATCTATTCACTTAGCTACATTAGATCAAATACTTGGATTTTGTTTCACTATCCATTTGACACAGCTACAACATCGTTTAAATTGCAGGACAACTTTTGGCTTAAATGGAAATAAAAGTACTCTAGAGAATGTGTCCCACTTAGGCAAAACCAAGATAAAGACCTTGTTGCAAGAGAATCATGAGATGGAAAATTTTAGTGGTATTTATCAATATCATCAGCAAAAAAATGAATCTAATTAGGAGTTCAAAATAATTATGTTTTATGTTCAATCATCATTAATAAACCCCACCTTTATTCTATTGAGTCAGTTGTAGCACAATCAGTAAAGTATTAAAATAGCATTTCCAGTGAGGGGTTAAGAAGGAGGGGTTAGGGGTTCAAAAATCATACCTAGCCAATCCTCCCTCCCCCCACCCAAAAAAAAAAAAGTTTCAACCCGCAAATAGAGAGAGAGTGCATAAGAACAATTTACCTTGCTTACAACAAGGCATATAGGACAAATTGCAGCACTAATAAGACTACCTGAGTATAATAATCAGAGTCGGGTGTTCCATCCAAATTTAGAATGGAAGCTAATACCATCATGAACTTCTCCCCAACATGCATACGATATATCTCTATATTCACATCTAACTGCATGTACATATCATACTGCTCACTCCTTGCTTCAATGTGAGAAACTAACAAAACATATTTAAGGGTTGTTAGCTAAAAACACCAATAGTATACTTCTGCACATTTCAATGCGAGAAACTAACACAACATATTTAAGGATTGTTAACTAAAAACACCAATAGTATACTTTCTGCACATTTCTTGGAATCGTACAGGCTCTGAGATCATGTGAAAAAGTACTTTGTCTAAGTAAGAAGAGCATTTAAGCACATTATGCATTCTCTCGCGGATGACAATTGCTGATTAACTAAGAAAATTAAAGGGTACTACATGAGATAAAATAAAAGAAAAAGGACACAGTGAAAACTGAAGGAAAATCAAGATGAAATGATTTCAAATTCACTCCTACCAAACAAATCCTCCTTTAGAGTGCACATTTTCATGCATCAACTCATAAGATGCATCGGTCATGTGTCCCAGTATTTATGTTTTCATAAGGATTTCAAAAGAACCAACCACTATCATCCTTTTTAACGTTTTATCTATTATTCCTTCATAGAGCCATGCGTTAATTTGATTGGTAGTACTATCCACATTAAATATTTATGCATACTAGATTGCTCCCAAAATTTCTTAAGTTTACACGTATTCTTCAAGTAACCTTGATTTAATCAAGGATCAAAATTTCGTTTCGGTGCATTTTTTCAGCACCTAAAAAACGGAAACTTTTCGACCCGTTTCGAAAACAGAATGAAAAAAAGTAAAAACTTTAAGAATTAATTTTTCAAAATACTAATCGAAATATATCAAAATATTTTGAAATAATTGTGCAAATGCATTGAAATATAACAAAATATTTCAAAATATTATGGAACACCTCGACGTATTAGAATTTCAATTCTATTACTGATTCGTTTCAGTCTTCTTGAAAACGGAATCGTTTCAGATATTTTGACCATTTCGAAACGATATTTTAATCATTGGATTTAATCTCAAGAGAACATTTCCCCAAATCATATGTAGCACCTCTCATGAGATACTTATCAATTGCCAAAGCCTCAAACTGAAGGCCAAGCCAAGGCATGTTTTGCTTTGAATGGCTAATTGGGGCCTATACATTAGCCATGAAAGTCCGTAGTTCAATGTATATCCGTGTATGACTGGAAATTCATATTCATCATTTAATAGCAAGAGAATTCCATATTATTGGGCCATTTCATGGGGAAGAACATACAATATTGGGTTTTTTTTTGTTTTTGTTTTTGATTGGTTTTGGGGGGGGGGGGGGGGGGGGGGGGGAATGTTATTTAAGGCGTGAAGCAAATTGAAATGCTTATATCTCATGGGACCTAGGCAGGAAGGGAAGTGAAGCGAGAGCTTCATCAAAGTTAGGCAAACAATATAAAAAAATGGGGAAACATAGATTGAAGTAGAAATGGAGAGAAGTGTAAAATTGATGTCTCATGTTGCATTTGCTGGTTTTGATAATAGCACAAAGGAGGAGAAATGAGACCTTGATTTTAAGATGAAAATGGAGGATATGCATATGATTAAGCAAATCATAAATTTATTATCTTAATATGTTATGATATTGAAAACTTTGAGATTAGTGTAGGGGAAGAATAAGTTTATTTAGTGAAACAATTACGTCTAATAGGTCTAGGTTTTTTTTTTCTAATAGATCTATTTTGGATGATGTCAAAAGGGGAGAAATGAGACACAATGGAAATATTGATAGATATGCACATACTTAAGGGGAACCTAAGTCTATTGGTTTAATGTTATTTATCTATTTTTTATAATGTCAAAAGAGGGAGAAATATTGCATTGATATATACATTTGACAATGTATTTGTGTATATGTTAAGTGAGAAGAAGAATTATATGTATCATTAGTTTACTTTGTTTGTCATCATCAAAAAGTAGAAGAATGTTGACCTTATACTTGGGTAAGCAAGGTTTTGATGATAAGAAACACTCTTTTATTACTAATCATGTTAATGTGAGTTAGGTTGTAAGGTGTTGAATAGGGTCGACACAAGAGATTGAATGTGAAATACGATACATCGAATACAAAGATTTGAAGGAGCAGATGTGCAATATTTAAATGATAAATTAGATGATCAAAGATGAAAATAAATGAAGACAATGAACATTTCTAAATCATTTGATTGAAGATGGGAAGAATTGAAGGGAATGAACATGAAAAGCTTATTATACAACCACCTCATTGATTTTATCATTATAAAGAATGTGAGAGTTTAATGATCTCACTCATATGGTCATTGTCCAATTTAAAGAAGCATAACTATATTTATTTATTTGAATAGTGGAAGGATTAAGGTAAAAGTGTGGAAGAAACAAACCAAGGAGGAAGAATGCATAAATCGGTCAACTTGAAATAGTCTTGATATTATGTGCATAACTTTCAACTCAGATGTTCAATTGAATTTATCCTTTTGGGATTAAAAAGTAGAAGTGAAGGTCTACATGTTTAATTCAAATAGCAAATTTTTAGATTATTTTCAAGGTGAAAACTAGCATGGAAGTTGAAGGTAGTGTACAAATTAGGGGAATTAGACATATGCTTGATAATTTGAACATAAAGTTTTACTCAAACATTCGCTTGACCTGATTAAAAAGGATTTGAAAATTACACTTCAATGGCTAAAAATTTAAACATTTGAGGTTCCAATTCGGCTTGGAAGTTATGGGCAGAGCTGTGCATTGACCTACCCATGAAGGAATCCAGATGACCGGATGAGGGGATCCAGACGACCGGAAGGCAAAATCATGTTTTGCACTATTTTGGAGAAATTGTTTTACCAGACAGCCGAACCTTGGCCTTGGACATCCTAACATGACCATTGAGCTTCCAATGGCTAATATTTTTGTTCAATTGCTTCCACTATAAAAGGGCATTTTCAGGCTTGAAGAAGCATGAATTTTTGAGACTTTTTGGGGTTATGATTGAGTGACAAACACAATGAAGAGTGCTTGAAATGACAATTATCTTGAATAGAGATTGTATTAACTCTTGTATTATTCTTTCTTGTTGTAATCTTAAAGCGTAAACATCTTGTAGAGAAAAGAGAAAATTTATAGTATTTGAGCTTGAGATTGTAAAAGGTGACTTCACCTATCGAAGAAGACAATGCATGTAAAGGATTGGTCTTTACCTGTTGAAGAAGATTGAAATAGTGAAAGAGAAGCTCCGAGGAGGCTGCGAAAGAAAGGACGTAGGCCATCATTGTTGGGTCGAACCTCTATAAATCTTTTTTGTTCTTCTTCTTCCCTACCTATTTACATCATTCATATTACATTACTCATCATACACATTATCTTCTACATCATATAATTATTTCTTATGCTGCATCATTGGTAAAAATCAAAGAATGTCTAGTCACTCACTCAAATAATCTAATTCACCCCCCTCTTAGGTTGTTTTTCGGCCAACAACTGTTCTTTTGAGTTTTGATCATTGGAGGTAGCCGGTGGTACTACGAATGCTCGGGGTGTAGAGCCATATACCATCTAGGCCTCTCCCTAACTTATGTGCTCTTCCTACTCTGCAAGAGTCTGTAGTAAGCTTTACACTTGGGATAAGACATTTCTTGACCATCTCTAACTGTTACCTCAAACCAACAGAGTATTGGTTGAATTTACTATGGGAGTAACATCCTTCTCCTCTCTAGGAGACCCCTCACTGGTCCCACTACTTCCGCTATGTCATTTTTCTTTAGAAGGAATTTAGATTTCTCTAGTTACACAATGTTAATGGTAGTGTATTAACATTATACTGGATTGATTCTCACATGATTTTCTACTTAAATCTTGTTGCATTAAATTTGTCTTGATTTATTGCATATATCTTGTTGCATTACATCCCACACATCATGGGATTTATATCTCGTTAATTCCTCCTCTCAATCCCACTCATTATGGGACAATCATGTATATATACAACACATGTACTATAATACAATCAATTCAATTTCTTCCTTTCCAATTCAGTTTCTTAATAAGGTATCAGAGCCTTTGTAATTCATACCAACAAAATTTCTTTTCCTCTGTTAGCTCCAGTATCTATCAAAGCTTTTGCCATGGCTGCCAATACCTCCTCAACTTCTCCTATTGTTTCTTCAAACTCAAGCACGACAATAAAGTATGAAGTGTCCTCTCCATTCTACCTTCATCACTCCGATAATCCTGGTGCTGTCCTTGTGTCTCAGCCTCTACAAGGAGACAACTACCTAACTTGGAATAGGGCTATGCGCATGGCTCTTGAAGCCAAGAATAAACTTGGCTTCATTGATAAATCTATTCCAAAACCTGATGAAGCATCATTGAACCGTCAAGAGTGGATTCGTTGCAATAGCATGGTATTATCATGGATTGTAAACTCTCTTTCTCGTGATATTGGTAACAACGTCATATATAGTTCTACAGCCTCCGAAGTTTGGATTGATCTTTGTGATTGATTTTCTCAAAAGAATGCTCCTTGTATTTTCGAGATTCGTTGCGCTATTTCTATTCATACCCAGAAAACAACTTCTGTTGCTATTTATTTTACCATTCTTAAAGGGCTATGGGATGAATTATCCTCTAATAATTCATATCCTCCTTGTACTTGTGGTGCCCTCAATTCTATTCCAGAACTTCAACAAACCGATAGACTTATGGAATTTCTAATGGGGCTGAATGATTCCTATAGTTCCATTCGCAGCCAAATATTATTAATGGAACCCTTACCCTCTGTTAACCGTGCCTATTCCCTTCTCCTACAGGAAGAACGACATCGTTCCATTAATGATGTTCCTACAATGGGTCTTGAACAATCTGCCATGGTTGCAAATAAAACCGCATCGGCGCATCAATATGGAAAAAAAACCCTTTTATCATTGCACTTACTGTAACACCGCCGGTCACAGTGAGTCACATTGCTTTAAGAAGCATGGTTATCCACCTCGGAAGGCTTCCAAATCCAATCAACCTCGTGATGACCAACACTCTCACGACACTCGTCCAACAACAACAAATGTTAATTCTAGTCCTTCTGTTGTCGTTGTCGAAAAATCTGCTGATCCACCTATGTTCACAAAGGAACAATTTGACCAGCTACTTTCTCTCATACCTGCCGGTAATATGACTCCTCTAGCAAACGTTGCAGGTAGTTTCTCTGGCTTAGCCACTCAGTTATCCAATCATTCATGGATTACTGACGCGGGTGCTACGGACCACATGGCTTCTAGCCCAGCTTTATTAACTGAATACCATGTTATGGCTTCTCCTTTCCCAATTAAATTACCTAATGATCAAAGTGCTTATGCCACTCATGTTGGTTCTACTTGTCCAACTCCAAATACCAAGTTAGAAGATGTTCTTCTTGTCCCTTCTTTTCATTTCAATTTGTTATCCATTAGCAAACTCACCAAATCTCTCAATTGTTGTGTAACTTTTTTTCCCACACATTGTGTTTTTCAGGACCTGCATACGGGGAGGAAGATTGGTCTGGGTCAACAAGTTGGTGGTCTCTACTATTTGCAATTTGCCATGGGATCTATTGTTTCAATGGTTACTCATAATAATGCCTTTGATGTTCGGCATTGGAGATTGGGTCACCCTTCTCCGTCTATCTTATCGCAATTATCATATTTGGATTCTCGCATTTCCATTACAAATAAATGTCCTTGTACTGTTTGTCCTCTGGCAAAACATTGTCCTCTGGCAAAACATTGCCGATTACCATTTTCGTTAAGCATGATTTCTACAAGTTCATGTTTTGATCTTATACATTGTGATGTTTGGGGTCCTTACCATATTCCTGCAATTTGTGGTGCAACATATTTCTTAACCATTGTCGATGATTACTCTCGAAGTACTTGGGTATATTTGATGAAATTTAAATCTGAATTATACACCAATTTACTTGATTTTTTTGCTATGGTTCATAAACAATTTAATTGTTCTGTCAAACAAATGCGTAGCTATAATGGTAAAGAATTTTTTAAAGCTGAATTTCAAGAATTCTTGAAAGCTAGTGGGGTCATTCACCAAATTAGTTGTGTTGGTACACCCCAACAA